TTTTTTTTTTTTTTTTTTTTCCCTGTTTTCCAGCATCCCTTTGGTTTTATACAGAATTGAATTCTATTTTATATGTAAATACTGGGGGCAGGACAAATCTTTTTGAACTCTGTGTAGAATCCAACCAATGAATTATTTCTAGGTGTTACACAGTGAAAAAAACAGAGAATAGAAACAACAACTGGAAAAATTGGCATTCTTTTCTGATTTCCATGTCTTTCTTTGAATATGGAAAGCATGCTGTTCTTTTTCTAAATTTGCCTAGTCTTCCCACTTTACTATAATTTAGCACTGGAGAGATTTATGAATTGTTTTCGATAGGTACATAAATTTACTACATTACACATTAAAAAAAAAAAAAAAGGTGTCCAGCTTTGTCAAATATAATTGCATAAAAGCATGCTAATTTTGGTTCTTGCACTGGTGTCTCAGCAGAATGTTCTTCATGTTCACTGTTAGAACAATAAATACAGAACAAGGATTTTAATGGTATTCTCTTTTATAGCAATCTGATGGGGTGAAGTAATTGCTTTTGGTGCTTACAATATCTGTAGCTAGATGAATTTACAAGGAAAGCACTTTAGCCTTAGAGCAAAATTATGAATATGTATCAGGCTTCTGCATTACATTTATTGTCTCCAGTACACAAAAATCAACTTTGGCATTACAAGAAGCGAGAATAACCAACAAACCATCTCCTGAAGTAGAAAACTATTATTTAAAGTGACAGTTTCACCCCTCTTTTCCTTTAAATAAAGGACAAGGATCTAAACCAATAATCTATCCTTTTTCACCTCTCTTTCTAACCTGTTCACAAGGAGACTGCCATTAGGCATAGCACTGCTGACACCAACATTTTTATACAATACTTTTGATGACAGCTATTAATGTACCATCAATAAGAGACTTACAATACTAAACATGCATTAAGCCACTACTATTTTCTAGCTGTCTGGAATTTCTCTAATACAGTCAAGGGAACTGGCAGAAATCCTAGTTTGCCATCACATACATACCAAAAGAATTTCCATTCACCTAAAGCAGCAAGAAATTGGGTTTTCTTGATGTTAATCAGGAGATAAAAATTCTCTTTAAAACAGATTAATCTTCAGATTAATAAATGGTTTAAGATCATACATCCAGAGATAAGACTACTGAATCAGAAATAACTGGATGAATGTACAGCAAACTGATAACAAACCTTCAAATGATAAAAAAAAAAAAACAACACTAAAACCGAAACAAAAAAACACTGAAAGGACTGTAAACTGCTAACCTAAATATGATGGTTTCTTACTGTGCATATCACTGACTGTCTGACAAAGCAAGTCTTTTGCACATTAGTTACAAGCCATGACAGAAATTTTATTCCCCCCATTTTATTCCTCCCGCATAAATTATATTGGATATATGACTTGGGAATAATTTCAATACATACATAATGTCTCTGCTTAACTTCCAGATGATATCACTTTTTGGCGCTGCTCTAATATAGTAAAACAGATTCAGAAATCTGATATAAAATGCTTATAACCAAAGGAAAGGAAACAAAGAACCGGAAGAAGGAGAGACAGATGAAAAGAGTTGCATGTACATTTTGAAAAAACATACAATGGCAGCTAATGAAAAACTAAGAAATACACAGAGAACCATGGAACAGGCATTCTAAAGCATATCAAAGCTATGTTCTTGTGCAGTGTGCTCAGAAAGAGTACTATATTCAAATGGTGTGCCAAAAATACTAAGCATAATGAGGCAGCCAGATCTTGTCAAAATCTATTCCTAAAAAACTGAGCTTGTCATTTTCTAAATACCATTATTTTTTGTATGGGTTATTTCTTTATTTTGTTTTGAATTTTCCAAAGTTCAGGCAGAGTTTGTTTCCACATATAAGACTCATAATTTGTGTTTGTATCTGGAAGCAGACCCTAAATAGGAAAATGAAAAGATATATTTTCACATGCATCTAAATACTGTTCATAAAATCCTGTCTGTGTTTGATTTTCTTTTGAAAAAACAAGAACTTAGATTGTTGCTGGGAAATTAATCCTTGTTTTCACTCCTTGTTCTGGGCCCTCAAACGGAAACTTAACTTTTGAAAGGTTAATTTTTACTATAATTGCTATAAAGAGGCTGCTGTGTATGAGAGCCTTGTTTCCTAGTCAGACAATGGCTTTACCAGCGAGCTTAGTGTCCAGCTATTGAAATGTTCATGTCAATGTCAAGTTGAAATACCATCATCTTCATGCCAAATGAATGTAAAAGAGAGTTAAGGCACTTATTGGAGCTAAGTCTTACTTTTCTCCCTTTTACAAGCTGTTCCTGAGCCAGCTTCACATTTGATACATGCCAAAATTTTTGGGAAGCAAAACACGTGGTGGTTTTGCTGCCGTATAAGGAAAAGCACTGCAAGTAACCATTTCTAATTCCTGTTAGAAGAAAAAAAATGTGTGGAGAAGGATCTTTTAGCTCTTTCATAGCCACTATTAGTCACAGAACGGCCCCTATGCTCTTATCTTTTCAGATTTTAAAAAGTCATCTTTGTTGCAATCATGTTCCCTCCTTTCTGGGCTGCATAGGGACAGAGAGAACCTGAGCATTTTAAAAGTCAATCTTTCCCTCTTAGGAAGGGAGTACCTTACAGTGACAGTCCAGAACAGTAGTTGCAACCTGTCATCAATCACGCTGCAACGGCATGTCACCACTGGGTCCACTGTTTTGGAACCAGCCATTGTTTCTGTACTGACTTTGGAGGGTTAGGCTTCTGGGGAGAGGACTGGAAGATGAGCGTCCTTTGGAGAGTTCTAGAAACTCTAATTTACTAGGCATAAGATCACTGCAAGGACACCACTTCCAGGTGCTAGTATTGGCAGACATCGCAAAATTGGCAGGTCATGTTGCAGCATTTTTTAATTCACCAGAGCCAACCTATGTCATCTTATGAAATCAGTCTAAAGAATGATAAATTACCTTCCTCCATACTGAACTGGATCCAGGATAGAGCAGACTGTACAGGAAACTATCACTTTGAAAATAAAAATCCATCCAAGATACATTTTCAGGGTGATGCCAACTAAGAGGTACTACATTTTCTGGAGAATGTCTGAGAGCGACAGCAGGAGTTGAACAGCTACTGCTTTTCATCCAAGAGCTCAAGCCACTAAATTCTTCATGCTAATGAGTTATATGTATAGTGTGGTAGATGCAGGCATGACAGTAAGAATGATGCTATGAGCTGTTTTCTTTTATAAGTTGTACAAGATAAACAGAGAACAGGCTAGAAATTTTTAAACTGATTGACATCAGAAAGTTGCAGAGTTCTAGTGAGAATCGTTTGAAAACCTAATATGTTTTTCCTGTCATCAAAACCCAAAACCTGTATTTTAAACTATTTTTAAAGAAAGAAGGGAAAAAAACACCTAAAACCAAAGAGCATGAAAGTTCCCTTTTTCATAAGTAATCAAGAACCTTATTACACCAGAGAAAACATCCTGTTATCCAGAATCTTTGGTATTTATTACACAGAGAAGAAAGAAAATAATTTTCAGTTAATCTCAAATTTTCCAAACATCTGTTTACAAGGACAGTAATGCCCAGGAGCAAAGCAGTCAGAATGGAGAGGCTAATAATTTGTGTTCTGGATGACATGCTTAGACCTGTCATCCTTCTCACTGATGCATCCTTGAAAAGATCAAGAGAAAAGACTGGTGCCATTCACATGCTCTGGACAAAACATGAAGCATTGAACACATATATATTTTTAACTTATTTGCCATTAAATATAGGGAATTTCATCCACCCTTGAGGGAAAGCAACCTTGCAAAGCTTAGATGGATTTGGACTGAGCTGTAAAACTATTTTTCACAGTATACATTTTAAAAATTGAAATGGTTTTCTTAAATGAAGGAAGGTTTATTTTTTCAATCTGAACAGTTCAACTCAAGAACTGTTCAACTATGGTGAAGCAGATTAATTACCCTTCTTTCTTTTTTTCGGGTTTTTTTTTTTTTTTCCTTTAGAAAAAAATATTTTCTGGTGTAAAAAATCCTAAACAAATGCCAGATAAATCTATGTGGAATAAAAAAGGGCAGAGCAAACAACTTACATGCAATTCAAATAATAAAGACTCGCTCTACTAAACTGAATAAATAAAGCAATCAGGTTTAAGAAAGAAAACTTTCTTCCCAATT